CGAACCCTTTCTCAGTGCATCCACCTTGCTCACTCAACCCCTGAAACTGCCAGTTCTCAGAGTTGAGAATGTCTTGCAAGCTCTTCAACAATATTACTCTGGTTTTGTAAGGCATCAGCAGCCCACTTTTTCGGTCATCGTATCGTTCTACTTCGGGCAGTTGATCAGCCGACCCCAGGGGTCGCGACGCGGCTGCAGCGCGTCACGACCGCGGCGATCAGCTGTTTCCACCCTAATTTAGCAATTTCCTCCCTAATTTTCACTGTATTTCCTATTTTTTCAAGATTATTTACGTTATTGTCTATGTGAAGTTTGACATTCGCGGGACTTTTTTATTTTGTACTGGCCAGTTATTGCCTAAAATTTTGGGTGGGAAAATACTAAGTGATCGCCATGAACAGTGTACGTACACCTCACAACCACCATGCGCTCCTCTTTGGTGCATCCCTCCTCTTGATCACTCTAAGAGAAGGCAGCACCAATGAGGGAAGCGCATTGATCATCGGTCTCCTCCCCATTCTCAACAATCAGGTCATCGTGGAATGTGCCTGCAAAAAAGGTGCACATAATCCGATAGCTCCGCGGAAAACTTGAATTGAATTAAATAGTCGTTTACGCTGCAGACGGTAGTGTTCGCTTTGGCGCGACGCCTGCCCTTTTTCCATCAACTGCTGTTGCATGCCCCTTTCAACAATCGGTGGAGAGAGGGCTGACGCCGCGCCAAACCACTCCTCTGACACGCCCCAGCGTCTGCAGTGAAAGCGACTGTAGCTGTACTTACATCGTACTCGACAGTTATTGTGACATTGTTCTTTCTGAGCTGTAAACATGCTGCCCGTCGGAAAATACAGGGATTTGCATGAGTATCACCTTGAGAATCACAAACTGGAGAGAAATCATAATCACAGTTTTCATTTGGACAGCATTCACCTGAACAGGTAAGTGGACTCGACATTTTATACTATACATCAAATCAATAATCGTTACTGTTACCGTTATGGAGTTTCTTCACTAAAAAGCCAGTAGAAAACTTCTTTGTTAAGAAACATTTCAGCTTCTCAAGGTGGCATTCATTGACCAAGGTTTCTCCTGTAATACAAATCAAATGAAAAATAGAAACAAAAGGAAAAATTAGTAACTGTTGCAAAACCATAGACGCATTCAGGGCATACTGCATGACTCAGGCAAAAGCCCGGTGAGACGTGCGAAGACGGCCTACGATTGGTTGTTCGGTCGATCCAACTAATCGTAGGCCGTCACTGGGTGCAACACGTCTCACCCACTGAATTCTATTAAACTTTTGACTCTGAACTGACCATTGGAAGCGCATACAGGCTTATACGTCATTGGACACTCTTTGTCACATGAATTTTCGTCACAAACGTCGAACTTTTGGATGGTAATATTTTTTCCAGTAGTTCTTTCGACAATACAGCGTTCCTTGCCAAAGAGACACAAGTTCTGCAATAGTACTGTGACGGAATTTTTTCATAAATAGTAGTAGTGATGACGAGGTCGCTCAGTCTTACACATAAATAGTGTTAATAGCTGCTGCTAGGGGTGTGGACTATGTTATAAGGCTAAAGACAAAACAACAATGGGACACAGATAAGGGTGTCTGTCGTGTTGCCGCGCGCGGCGCATCGCGCGCGGCAACACGACAGACACCCTCGAAATCTAGATGTGCTTCAATTTTCGATTAGAGCAGCGAAACTCATGTGAATTCAAACGGAGGCAAAATTGCTTGCCAATGGCCTTCCCATCCGTTTAACATCAACGTCAAACTGGCCTAGCGGGACAACTCGTCTTCCGCAGCCGCGGCGTCGCTCGCCATGCTCAACAGCGCGGCGTATGACGATTGTCTTGTCACATAGGCCAGAGCATTGAGCCTTGGAAAAGAGGTGAAGGCGCCCTAGGCAGCTTCACCCTACCTATAACGCACCGACTCCTGTAGTTTGATGAGGCACTTAAGCAAAATCGACACTGAAGTTGAGCTAGAAAAAAATGTAATATCCGCCGATATTGGAAGCCATTATAATAATTTAGCGCGCTTGAAGGTAGTGGGCACAATTGCTGGAGGCGGGCGGTTAGGTCAAGCGTCATTGGTGGGAGCGGCTGGGGTGTTTGCCCACATCACAGGGAACCCCAACAGGTCGATCCGGCCATTTACAATGAGATGTATACGTATGGACGTGTCTTGAGCCGCTGAATCCGAATCTGCCCTCCGATTTTGCGGAACGATTCTCTGAAGGGAGTTACGGACCATTTAATCTTTGCTGTGTTTGCACAAGCTGACCAGGAAAGGCCAACACGTCAGCCCGGCCATTTGCAACGAAATGTACATCATTGTACTCACCTTGCCACGATGAACACAAGACTATCTTTAAAATTTGCGGAACGATTCTCTGAGCGGAGTTGTGAGGTTTTTCTTTATTGCTTTTCTTCTTCCGGGCGCGCCAGCGCCAAGCGTTAGCACCTGTAGCGCAACTCACAGCGCTCTTCGCGCAAAACAGGTATCATATTCGTGTTCAGGGGTCAAATAACCCTAGAGACGTCACCCCAGCGGAATCCGAGGTTCTAACTCATTTTCGAGAAAATGGGTTATGAATAGCTGTGGCTGACTGATAGCCAAAGCGATACTACGACCATACTGATGATGACTGGTTTTCCAACTGAAATACCTCTTCATGTGCCTTTTCGCAAAGACATTACCCGGCTTACTTATTCTTGCCGTTTGCATCATCGTCCTCTTTACCACGAGGTAGTTCCATCTCGAGACCATTCACCAACGGTAGGTGAGCTCCCCTATGCTTTCGATTACCCATGAAACAGCACACATTTTCCAAGTTAGGTGGAAATATCAGATTCGGCTAGAAATTTGTCCCCAGGGGTAGTTTGACCCGCTGAACATGAATATGATGGTATTTCATTGCAAAAACCCTTGTGACATGTGGTTATCCTCATAATAAAAAAGTTTTCAAGAGGAACCCTACATGGGGAATCGCCCGCCTTTCGTTGGCAACTAATCAAGAAATTAGGCGAAATGGCCAAATAGAAATTTCGGAGGGCTCATACCAAGTGTTTTGAATGAAAAGCAAAAGATTTCGATAGCCAAGGATTCCAACGACCTCGTGTCTCTGAAGCAATGCACTTATCCACTAGGCCATCGGCGGCTTGCCGCATGCAGTTATCCTTCTCAACTTGAGCAAACGGAGCTAAGATTAAATGGTCCGTAACTCCCTTTGGAGAATCGTTCCGCAAAATCGGAGGGCAGATTTGGATTCGGCGGCTCAAGACACGTCCATATTTATACATCTCACTGCAAATGGCCGGATCGACCTGTTGGGGTTCCCTTGTCAGCCTTTCCACCAGTGACACTTGCGATCCGCCCCTCAGCGATCCTGTCCAGTGCCTCTAGGGACTCTGCGAATTAGCGTCCCAGTGGTACCAAAACCACTTCGGTGGAATAAGATGGCGACCGTGGCACCTTTCCTCGTTTTCAGGCTCAAAATGCTCATCCCTACCTGTTTCCACAAAGAATGCTTCAGGTGCCCTAACTAACTGGAATAGCGCCTTATCTTACGAAATGAAAATGTTTATTTATCCGAATACAAAATAAATTCAAGAGTACCTGGTGAGTTACACCCCGATCGTCACAGACAGGACTGAAATTATGCGGGCAGTCCATCGCACAGCATTCTCCCTTGTAAGCCACTCCTAGGTCCGCTCTAAAAGAGCGCTTTTATTCCATGTTTCTTGAAGTTTCTTTGCAGGACCACTTACGCGTGTCGGCACTGTGCCAATTTCAGATGACACATATTAGTATAAGTGTTGTCATCGGAGCCACAAATAGGAGCGTAGTTATTATCGCATGAACTCGGGCAGCTGCTTATGCCTTCGGAGGACCTCTCCCCTGTAAAGATATGATTAGGATTTGTTGCCTTTGATAACAAAAAGTTTTACCTATTGCTATTGGACTAAACAGTTCCGCAGACTCCATACCTCCTCCGATCATATCACCGGATTCGCTTGAAACGAGTACCATCGGAGCCCTGGAATCCATAAGAATAAGATATGGGGAATAACAAAGACATCGCCTCCCTGTTCATTGTTCACTTATGAGAATGACTGCTTTGTTGATAGAAGAACTAAATCAGCCTCTTTTCCCGTGGGCGGAGACAGTCAACAAATCTGATTCCATGCTGATGCGACCCTCATTCTTTTATCATCCAAGGTAGCGGTAAGCCAGCGGGCAAGCCACAGCGGTTGAGTGTCTCCGCCCAAAATACCAGCGTAGACTATAGACCTATGTCCCTCATCTAGATCTTCACGGTCACAACGCAGCATAGAACGGCCAAGAACTAA